AAAGCAGCCAAAGCATGCAATATGAAATTGGGAAATGACAGTTTTAATCAAAGATTACTATTATTCATTCTTAAACTGTATCAATGCTAATTTAAATGATCGAGTCTGTTTGGGGTTTTTAACCAATTTAAGAGTGAAATTGAATCTTACTGACTAAAAAAAGGTTTCTGCCAACTCTGAGAATCAAGGCCCAGGTTATAAGAATTATACACAAGTAAATGTATACATGCAAATGTTTCCACTGGAAAACAGACTACTCTGCAAGTCTCTGCTGATTTAGCATTTACTTCTTGCATACTTCTAATTCTTAGCTCATCTTATTGTATCTTACAATTTTGTAGTCAGACACTGCCTTACTCTTCAACTGAATTCTGCTGGAGCTGCTGACTTACACTGACACAGTTGTTTCCTATGAAACTTTAACACCATTCCCAACTACCAAGCAGGGAAGCAGAAAAAGATGAACAAAGGCTATAGATTTCTTTCTGCATGAGCCTTTTAATGGTACATGGCTTATCACTCCTTTTAAGTGATAAAAATACACATTTAATTACTTAGCTTTAGCCATCTCAATGTAAGCCTAGCCCTAGGTCCCGAAACACAGAATGACTCAGTGACTTACAAAAATTAGTGAAGGGACATGACAGGTGTCTTTACTAAAGAATAAAAGCTTCTTTAGTAAAGAGACTTACAAAATGTTAGCTCTCCATCATCTTGCTTATAGTTCCTTTGGTATAATCTCCTTAAGATCTTTTATATTCCTATAGGTATACTTTGATTCCTAACTCCGATCAAGCCACACTAGATATCACGTGACCAAAGGGAACATAAGAGATCCCTGCAGTCACTCTTGGAATGCCATGGAGCGATTAACACTGACCCTGTTCCTCATTGAGAATGCACTATTAGGATATGCAAAGTAACTTACATGGCGATGGAGAAAGGCTGTATTCCTATTAGCATTCATGGGAGCTATGCAGCTACAGTCTTGTTCATCAAGTTTGGAATATACCCTTTTGTTATTGATGGGAAAATGTCACTAGTAACAAATGGTTACACACAGGGGTATAGCAGGGTCAAAGCAAACTCCAATACTTCCCCCCCACATCCCCAAAGACAGTGCTGCTTCAGCAGTTCTTTTTTGACCTGATGGCACACCTCTTTAGATAAAAGAAATAGTGAAATCCCCTGCCCTGACCTCTTCTGTAGCCCCACTACCCAAAGATTAAAGAAAAATGCAAAGCCTCCCAAAGGATATGCCATTAGTGGCATATACTGGGACAATCAGACACTGATGTAGGCATCACTAAGTATGAAGTCTGCCTTCAAACTCCTCTCAAGGTCCACCCACAACTCTGATCAGTCTCATAAAACAGTCTTTCAACAGCATGAATAGGGTCTGAGTCATCAGTTTCCCAGCTACAGACAACTACAGTTGCTTCATTTCTACACTGAAAGCTTCCTTTAAAAACAAAACTGGTTGGTACTGCAGATATTCTCTGCCAGATGGCCCATGACACTTCTTGAGATGGAATCCCTATTTACTAAGTTACAATTTTTTTTTATCAACTTGAGATCAAGATTGCATTTAGGGTTTATGGGAAATTCATTCAATCTTGTCAACTGCAATAAGGCATATTACTCTTGCTGGAAACAGAGTTGGGGGACAATTCAAATTCCTTACAATCTGCATCTTCTGAATTGCATAAAACCATACTGGTACTACTACAAGCATGTGCACATTTGATCTGACAATCCAAACCAGTCTTTGTTGTATAGAAGCTGTTTACACAGTAAACCTTCAATGCAATTAGCACAAGCTGTGCATTTGACCCATGTTAGAAACAAAGCTTATTCCTGAGCAGGAATCAACTGGGAAGATGCTACAAAATACTCTGAAGAAAAGTGGAAATAGCCCTGGTCAGGCTCCTAAACTATTTAGAGATAATCTCCCTACTTGTAGAAAGCTGTTTTGAGGCAATTCTAATCACACTGCACAGCTAGAGCTATATTATAAGAAATGCTGCATAAGGAACCACATAAATCAGCTTCCACTCACTTGTCCAACTCCCTGCCAGAAACGCAGCTTCCTATTTACAGTTTTAGCAGTACAGTTTGTTCCACATATCTTTAGAAAACATAGCAATCAGTCCTGCCCAATCTGGCCAGCTCTTATTCTATGTTTACCATATAGTTCTGTACCTGAGAGCATTTATAGTCTTCCATGTAATCTTTTCTTACTTACAAAGAACATCTGTGCTCTTGACAGGACATCATCCTGAATAGCATTACTTTTCTCACTGATTCTGCTTCCCTAGAGAGTATCCATACAGCCTAGGATCACTTAATAAGGACTTTTGCATCATCTATCCCTCATCTCCAGTAAAGCAATATTTTAAGGACAAATACATTGAGAATTATTTTTACCTTTAAAAAGAACTAGAGCACATTAACACATTGCACACCCCGATGATTTATTTTAGTGTCCAGGAAATACTTCAGCCTTTCTCAACTTTTGAGAGCCTGATGTATATGACACTATAGACCCATACAGTCACTAGCTCTTATAACAGACTCAAGACATCTGTTTTCAAACTAAAGTCATAGAAGAATTCTGCCTTCCTTAAATTCCAAGCACAAGGGCAATCCTAGCCCATGCTAGAATCACAAGGGCAATTTGTAGCCTTCTCAGTTGCACAAGAAAGTCTGAAAACATCATATAACAAAACTCAAACAAAAGGCAAAAAATTATTCAAAAATCATTTTGAATTAATCACTTTATGACCAGACTCACAACCATATTTCTCTTCAGCAACTATGCAGTCAACTGCTCCAACAGGTTCAGATTAACCTCAGCACTGCCAGCCTTTAGGCAATACCATATTTACTCCCGTGGCAAACAAAAACTTACTTACCATGCCTTGCTTAAAGAAACTTCCACCACATTAAACTTACTAGTTACTTTTCTGCCCCTTGAGATAGCTTTATTACCTCAGCAACTGCCACAGCTGCTGACAGCACTTACCTTTAAGAATGAAAATGCATACATCAGTTTGGGAAGGAAAAAGGGCAAAATACCTAGAAGCTGCAAGACTTACCTTACAGTTTCTTTCTTGTGAAAAAAGAATCTATCAGCATAGGCTCAGCTTCCTACCTTTATCTCTGCACTACTATTCCCCAGGAGAAAGGAAAGATATGAAGGGACAAAGAGAAGGTACAGGGAAACTGCTGACTGAATAGCAATGCAATAGGAATCAAGCAGGACTAGAAGACACAAAATTTTGAGGTGCCAAAAGCTACAGGCAGAAAAGGCTCTTAAAAAAAGAAAGGGCCCAAATACTTGACATGTTCACATCTGAGCAGCCTTCATTTCTCCAAAATGGAAATCAGTCAGATTATTTTTTTCTGGATGAAAAACCTTCTTTCCTGTGAGGGTGACAGAGCACTGGAACAGGTTGCCCAGAGAGGTTGTGGAGTCTCCTTTGCTGGAGATATTCAAAACCTGTCCAGATGCAGTCCTGGGAAATATGCTCTAGAGGACCCTGCTTGAGCAGGGAGGTTGGACTAGATGATCTCCAGAGGTCCCTTCCAATCTTGGCCATTCTGAGATTCCATATGTATTTTAAGAGATTAACTCACATGTAACTCCATATACCTCAACAATTCTCACTACCCCTCTCCCAAGCTACCTCTCCCAGTGTAGACTCTGCTCTTCAGCCTACCTCTTGCTAGACATGTAACTCTTAAAGTCACAAGCCACAAAGCCTCTTTGTGCTATTTACCCCTACTGGACAGGGCTAATGGATGAGAACAGACCACAGGCTGCCACATGGTCTCTCCAGCTGGGGAGAGTCAGGAACATAATTACCAGAAAAAAGCTTTGGGTTCAACCCCTAGTTCATTACCTGCAACTTAAACTTGTTCTCCAGGCCAGGAGTTCCTAGTCTGGCAATAGCACCTGTGCAGTATCCATCCAGACAGAAGGAACCACAAGCAGCTGCTAACCAGTTAACTACCAGAGTATGCTACTAAGATTCTTGAAAGACCTGCACTTAATTCAAATTATGAGCCTAGAAGTACAAAACAAAGGCACTTTTTCAACACTTCTCTAAATCCCTCACCCTTTATAGTCAGATATAGGATTACACAGGTGGGGGGAGCACTGCACTGTTGAGCACCATTTGCACTAACCACTACATCTCAGCCTCTAGCACTGAGGCAGCTCAAACAAGGGTTCCCATAACTAGGCTGTAAAAGCTAAGAAGTCATAGCACTCAAGCACACTTATGCATGCCAGGTGTGAGAAACTAAAACACAATATAGCAGGGCAACACTCACAGCAGCCTATTAACCACAGGAACAGCCACCAAAAATCCACTTGCCACCCAGGCAGCTCCTCAGACTCAGCCTAGCAGCCACTCACACTACAGCAAAAACAAAATCAGGCCCCAAAAAAGCCCCTCAGCAAGGCAGGGCCAAGCCCCTGCAGCTGCCCTCACACAAATACCACCCCAAGTGGCCTACAGTGAGGCCAGAGCAGCCCCCTACTGCTGCCCCAACAGCCGCCAGCGTCCCCTACAGCCACACCCTCTAACAACGGCCACTCTCCGCGGCGC